ACAGGACAAATTCAATGACAGGTTCAAGATAAGGAAGGTAACCACAAATCACTGGACTATAATTCTAAAGAGCAATTTCATAACTTCCAAAAATACCCATAGTAATGCACCAAGCCAAAACTTTTATTCAAGTGTCCACAACAACACCGATGTCATTTCTAATCTTGAATAAAATAGCACCTGCCAAATCTAACAATTAAAGCAATTTTTCATACACCCAAGGAAACTCCAATGCACAATATCAGTTAGGGGTGAAAATAAGAGGAACATACCTTCATTCCTTCAAATGAAGTGCAGCTAAACTAAAAGTCCAAAATTCAAACATCAAAATGGCAATTTCAGAGCTTAGTCTGCAAATCACTAGCAACTGGAAAAATGACATAATCTTATTTCCTGCCGAGCGTCGTTGATGAGAGAGCAAAAACCCTTATAAATGAGGCTGCAAGATATGAGAGCATGACTCTCTTCCAGAGGCACTACCTCGAATCACTACAAGGGAATGATCAGGTCCCAGGAAGGTCAGCCCCCTTTTGGGTCCCAGCCACAAGAGTTTCCACTGCCACTGGACTTATTGGACTGTTTTGCCTAAGAGTATGACAAGCTTACTCAATTAGCTCATTCAAAGTCCGGGTGTGACCCTTCCCTTGCAGCCAAATCTGGAAATGAGCTACTAACTAGCTAAACCACAACAACTTCCCTAACTAAGCTACTAAAGGGTTTCTTCAAAGATGAGACCCCTTGACTTACCTCTGATCCAAAGTGGAGTGTGGGTACACGGAGAGGGAGCACAAGCTGATTGCCTATGGTCCAAACCTGGAGTTGGTCATATGCTCCTGTGGAACTCAAGGCCTCTTTCAGCTTCCTCCCTTCCCAGCCAACGCACCAAAACTGTCAGGGGAAAAACTTGTTAAAGAGAAACAAGAGACAACACACAACAAAATTCTCACTTTAGGATCCAGAGGTTTATTTCAATTTAACACAGAGATTCAGTTCTTATATTTCAACAACTTATTGCAATAAGGACCAAGTGGACTAGCGGTCATTAAGTATGGCAGATGGGCCAGGAGGCGAGACCCAGATCTTTGAAGCAGGTTTTGTACCTTAGCATTGTGCCCACCTCTAGCATTCTGGTACCACCCAGTAGCCATCCCACTTCCCTTTCTCGGGATTGACCTCTGGATCAGCTCCCTACTTCTGGAACTGACCACTGTGTTAGTTCCTTATTCTTATTCCATTGTCCTAGTTACCGAGCCAGCTTCCTGTTCTTTCCTGTCCTTGCTCTAACCACTACTTTCCTCACTACCATTTCTGCTCGTGTCATTGCACCCATGAACAGGGCTCAGTTCCTCAATCCCTATGCTATCTGCTCCTGTGAAAATGTGTGCCAACCACAATCTTTCACCATCTTCTGCAAAGGTCACAGTTCTTCTTTTTACTAAGTATTTCTCAGCAGAAACCGGTCTTTATTTTAACTGACTATCAAAGAAATATGTTTGATTTATACAGAAATAATTACCGTAAATGCCGGCGTATAAGACGACTTCCGCGAGCGCTGAAATCGGCGCCAAAGACGGGGGTCGTCTTATACACCGAGTCGTCTTATACGCTGGAAATACTGGTAGTTTCCGGCGTATAACACGATGTTCTAGGAATGCGGCCCAGCTATAAAGACGGGGGTCGTCTTATACGCCGGGTCGCCTAATACGCCGGCATATACGGTATTAAGATATTTTTTTCTTTCACACCTTCACTTCCTAAGTACTTGGTAAGCTGGTAGTAAATGAGCACTCCTGTTGACTGACAAGGGACCTGTTTCCCAGGCTTCACTCATCTTAATAGCTGCATAATTGAATGTATATCCTTGTTCATTCCAGTGTGACAGTTACCAATGAGTTTGGGTCTCCTCATCTAACCAGTCTCTTTTGTTTTTGCAGTCTGGTGGTTAGCTTCCTCCCCATCTATCCTACAGGGGCAATCCATGCAGGGGATCTGGTAGATTACAGCGGAAGAATCTCCCACCTCCTACTGATCTTTACAATGCATAATTTATCCTCATATGGTAACCTCTTGGCGGTGCGCAATGCCCACTTGCAAATCTTGGAAGCTGCATTCTATTGCTTCCAAAATGTTTTTGATGTATGGTAGGGCGTGCCATGTGGTTAGTCTTGTACTTTGTTTCTTCCTTTCTCTGCACCGTATTGTAACAAATGCTTATGGGAACCCATTCTGCCTGAATTGTTCACGTAGGTAGCCACTTTCCAGTTGTTAGCTTGCTGGGTACAATAGTGGGTTCTTACCCTGCCATATAGTGTTCTGATGCAACTCTTTTTGTGTGACACTGGATGGTTACTGTTGAAATTCAGAATGTGTGGAGAGTTGATGGCCTTGTGATAAACAGTGGTTTCTAGGCTTACATCTTCTTGTCTGTTGACAAGCACATCTAAAAATGGTAATTATATAGCTGTTTCTTCCTCCATTGTGAACTCTATGTCCGAGAAGATGAAGTTCAGTACGGTATGAAAATCTTTCAGTACATTTCTTTTGATGATGACAAATGTGGCACCAGACTTTACACGTGTAGTTTTGAAGTTGCGGTGTTCCAGTTCATGCAGGACTGTTTCTGCAATGGCTCCTGATATTGGGGATCACTTGGGTGTCTCTTTTATTGCTCATACATTTTCCTGTTGAATGTGAAGAAGGTACATTGACAGTATTGGAGTATTGGAGTAGCTTCATGGTAGAATACTGTCAATATATCTTGTCAGTGCAATCATAGATAATCTTTACAATTAAGCAATTTTAATTCTTCTAGACTTTTTATCCTCTTGCTTTTGTATTTTTGTCATTCTGTCTTCATGATATTCTATCAGTCAAGAATATCTAAATTTTGAATTATGTTGTACTCTATATGTTACGGTTCTAGCAATATAATTTCTACACAGCGGTGGCTCTATGGAGTTCACTGTCATGAAATATTATTGAATAGAATTAGGTTCTTAATGGTTTGGTAAACTGAAACTATGGTTTAGTGATTTTAAGAGAATATTCTAAATGAATTACTACTTTCTTGTATCTTTTATCTCTTCTACCTACCCCTTGGAGTTCTCTATTATCGATAACAGCAGCAAGAACAAAAATAAGTAGCAAAGCCTCCAGAGCTATTTCTCAATCAGTACTTCTATTCTTGTTTCTCCAGAACTAGTGGGTCTAGGAAACAAATAGCTTACTTACTAATTGATATATATCTTGAAATAATCAGTATGTGTACCAGTGTTTTCACTTGTATTCACTCATGAATATAAATGGGCTTTTAATTTTGGATAAAAATAGAAATAACATACCCAAACATTGTTTCATTATTTTCTCTAAAGGGTTTGTGAATTACCGAGAGAGCTCTGATATAGAAATATAATTATTAAAGGAATATAATCCTGACAGCTTTAACCTAACATAGAAGGCATGGAAGAAGTGGGAAAAAGTTTATTTATTAAAAAGATATTTAAATATATGTTTTTAAAATTCATTGTAATATATGTTTTATCTGAAATATTCTGTTTTTTTCCCATGTGCTTAGTTAAAAGAGAAGGAGAAGAATTCTATATACTGAAACAAAAGTTGCCATCATTACTTTAATTATTTATGAAAAGAAGAAATACAGGCATTTAGGCTGGACATAAAATGAATTAATTCTGCTATTACTGCCTACTGGTTTCATAAAACAAATTGGTCATAGAATTAAGAAAGAAGAATCATGAATCATCAGTGCAGATCGGACATAGCATATTTTGTCTTAAGAAGCTCAGATGTATGCAAGCCACAGGAATACGTACTTTGTCCTTCTGTTCTTTCTTTGATTGCTTCTTTATACTTTGAGATTCAATACTTCTTAGATTAATTAACTATTAAATGCATAAGAGAATTTTAAACCATGATTTGAAAATGATTTCATTTTGTAATTTGTTCTTTAAAAAAAGAAAAAGAAGTGGAAAAATATTACCAGTTAAGCTAGGAACTTACATTTAATATAATATTCCAATAGATGGCTTGTTCTTAATTTATTGATTAGAATGCTTACTCTACTACTGATTGACTCTACAGTAATCATTTTATTCTCTATTAAGTTGGTTTATATTGGTAGCTTTCATAATGATTCATATATTTTGCTTTCTAATCTGAATTTGAATAGCCTTTCTCTGAGTATGAACAGTAGATCATTAGTAAAGATCATCTCTTTCTTAGAAGTGTTCCAGCATCCTCAAATGTAAATAGTTTTGCTAGAATATCAAGACATATAGACTTAGTCAACAAACTGGGCCAAGGTCTGTGTTTTTTTAATCAAACTGGAACAACATACTAAGTCATAACATATTTACAAGCCACAATCGCTGTGGTTATTATGCAAGACGTTGAACCTGTTTAATTACTCAGTCCTGACAATGGTTGATCTTTCTTATCCTTTATGGAGTTGTAAATATTTCTCTGCAATAGCCAAAATATTAAGATGTAAATATTAGTTTAAATTAATGAAGAAAATGGTATAGTTCTTAAATAATAGTAAGCTACAGTGCAATTTATTATTTTGAATTTAACGTAGTGGATAAACCCATCATTAGCCTAATTTCATGTAGTTATTAAACTGGTTTCATAAACATTTTTCCAAGATATCAATTCATATCTTTAATATTGTTTGTTTCCTAAAAAACTGTTGTTTAAAAGACAAAAAAGTATGGCATTTCCATCAAAATTTGGATCTGGCTTCATTTACTCTTGCTCCTTGTGACTTATGTTCACTCTTCTGTAATTCTCAGTAGATAACATAAAAATGGCTAATCATTGCATTAATTATAAACAATGACTGTGACCTATCCAGCAAACTGTGGTATTATGTATGAACACAGGTCATGTAAAATTCATTAGACATGATTTAATTACTAATAATATAGATTATACTTCTCTGTTCACCTTTTCATACCTTTCTTACTTGATTTGATTTCTTTCAGTATGAAAGAAGCTGGTTTAAGCCATAAACAATGGAGAATTGGTTCCCTTTCATCAAAATGCAAGCTGTGTCCTATTATTTATACCAATCCAGTTTGTGGATCCGATGGTCACACATATTCTTCTCAGGTAAGTCAATGAATAGACTTGTTGTCTATTCTGTGTGATATATAGCATTTTATTGTCAAACATTGTATGGTTTGTTCAGTTTAAATTACTAAATGAACCTGTTTAAATCTATAAAATTGAACTGACATAATATCACAGCTTTTTTTACATCAGCAGCTCTTTTTTCTTTCATCCTGTAAATCCCACAAAGACATACAGTACAACTATTGTTGACTAGCTATTATTCTCCCTGAGCTGCTCTGGTATTTTGACACAGATAAGAAGACAGGCAAGTTAGTCAGCATCCATTGATTGACTGGCTGGAGCCTCACCTTGGAATCTGAACAGGAAGGGACACTAAGGTAGCCTTCTGGGAGATGTAATCTTCAGCAGAGGCAGTTAGAGCAGAGTACTGGGATGTAGGATTCCAGCAGCTCAGAAGAAGGAAGGAAGGAAGGGGCAGCCTTGGGAGAAGGGGATTGGAGGAAAAAAGTTGTAAAAGGACCCACTGGGGAGAAGAAAAAAAGATGGCTAGCTGAGGGTGCTGGACTCATGGGTGGAGACTTGATCTGAGGAAGAATAGCTGATATATTCTGAGTTGGAAATTGGATTCTGGCTACCATGGAAGGGATGACAATTCTAGCCCAAGGCAGAGACTTGGAGTGACTGAATCCTTGGCCTGGTGGAGTTTCTGGGCCATTGCCCCCCTGGCTGAAGAGGTGGACCCATAGGCCTTTTGCTGGACCTGCAAAGGACACGTCCATAAATCAACAGCATTGGTGAGGGGCCATTTGGCCAAAGGACAGTTTCTGGGAGCTATCTGTGTGTTTTATTTAAGCGCTCCGACAGAAGCAAGATGGATGGCAAACAAATGTAATAAATTAAAATAAAAAAAGTAAATAAGAATCATGATACCAGTTAATTCTGCTATTCATTACTATTTTAAAAGTTTTCTTGGTATTACCGGGAAAAATCAAATCCAACTGAAACAAGTGTAAAGCAAAGTGAAAGAAAGTAATGTCACAGATTTTTCAATATTAATTTTTACACTAAAAATTGTAGTTTATTCATTGTTTATTTGATATCACAAATAATTGAATACACAGGGCAGGATATTAAAGTGTTTCACATTTATATACACTGTGTGTGTGTATGTGTGAGTTTGTGTGTATATAAATGTGTATGTATAGATACTGGTATAATTGCATGCATGTGTATGTATAGATACTGATATAATTAGCTATATTTTCACAACTTTTTTTCTTTCATGATGAAAGATAAATCATATTAGCATGAAAGGGTTATATTTCATAGCCAAAAGACATGTCAAGCACATATTTAGATTATTCACATTTAATCACAAGGAAATTCTCATTTTGATTTTGTATTTATAGCAAACTGTCTCATTTTTCTTGCTTGGGTTGGAATAACAAGTGTTTAGGGCAGGGGTAGGCAACCTTGGCTCTTTTATGACTCGTGGATTTCAACTCCCAGAATTCCTGAGCCAGCATGGCTCAGGAATTCTGGGAGTTGAAGTCCACGAGTCATAAAAGAGCCACAATTGTCTACCCCTGGTTTAGGGTTTTCTTTCCTAAGCAATCCAGCAACATATGAACATTCTGACTCCTCAGTGAAGCAAGCGAACATTTCTTTCCATTAGTGAAAGCTGCACACAGAAAGTTCCTCCATCTTATTTTCAGAGAATTCCGTTTCCTCATGTTGTTAATCTCCTCAATTTAAAGTGTATTTTATTCCACGGTCATGTTTTCACAGAAATAGAGGGCGAACAGGGAGGGAGCAAGGAAGACCCCTTTAACCACTCAGTTCTATAAATAAAACTGGATCCAGCCCTTGAGAGGCAGTTTGGTGTAGTGGTTAAGGTGCTGGCGTAGAAACCAGGAGACTGTGAGTTCTAATTCTGCATTAGGCATGAAAGCCAGCCAGGTAACTTTGGACCAGTCACTCTCTCTCTCTGCCCAACTCACCTCACAAGGTTGATGCTATGGGAAAATAGAGGAGAAAGGAGTATTAGGTATGCTTTCTGCCTTGAGTTATTTACAAAGTAATAAAGCCAGAATAAAAAATGAAATACATTATCCTGAATAATTTCTACCATGTTTATGCAATATTGCTGGCAACCTTTAGCCTAAAACGAGGAATGCTTTATATGGTTCCTCCTACCAACATGCCGTACAAATTCAGAATTGTATGAGCTTATTCTTATTGTTTTATACTATGTCCAGTAATACAGATGACCAATATGGAAATTATAAGCATCATGGAAATGAGTAGAAAATGATTATTCTTAAATTGTGTCTCCTTAGGGTTTTTATTTCATTCTAATGCAAATGGGGTGATTGGGGAGAAAGGGGGTTGTTGTTGTTAATTGCAAAGTCATGTCCGACCCATCGTGACCCCATGAACAACGTTCCTCCAGGTCTTCCTGTCCTCTACCATCTTCTGGAGTCCATTTAAGTTCACACCTACTGCTTCAGTGACTCCATCTAGCCATCTCATTCTCTGTTGTCCCATTCTTCTATTGCCCTCAATCTTTCCCAGCATTAGGCCCTTCTCCAGTGAGTCCTTCCTTCTCATTAGGTGGCCAAAGTATTTGAGTTTCAACTTCAGGATCTGGCCTTCTAAAGAGCAGTCGGGGTTGATCTCTTCTAGGACTGACCGGTTTGAACGCCTTGCAGTCCAAGGGACTCGCAGGAGTCTTCTCCAGCACCATAGTTCAAAGGCCTCAATTCTTTGGCGCTCAGCTTTTCTTATGGTCCAACTTTCACAGCCATACATCGCAACTGGGAAAACCATGGCCTGGACTATATGCACTTTTGTTGGCAGGGTGATGTCTCTGCTTTTTAGTATGCTGTCTAGATTTGCCATAGTTTTCCTCCCCAGGAGCAAGCGTCTTTTAATTTCTTGGCTGCAGTCCCCATCTGAGGTGATCTTTGAGCCCAGAAAAATAAAATCTGTCACTATCTCCATTTCTTCCCCATCTATTTGCCAGGAATTGAGAGGGCCGGATGCCATGATTTTGGTGTTCTTAATGTTGAGTTTCAAGCCAACTTTTGCACTCTTCTTCTTCACCCGCATCAAGAGGCTCTTTAGTTCCTCTTCACTTTCTGCCATTAGAGTGGTATCATCTGCATATCTTAGGTTGTTGATATTTCTCCCGGCAATCTTAATTCCAACTTTTGTTTCATCTAGCCCTGCCTTTCTCATGATGTGCTCTGCATATAAGTTAAATAGGCAGGGCGACAGTATACAGCCTTGCCGGACTCCTTTTCCAATTTTGAACCAATCAGTGGTTCCGTGTCCAGTTCTCATTGTTGCTTCTTGACCCGCATATAGGTTTCTCAAGAGACAAATGAGATGGTCTGGTACTCCCATCTCTTTAAGAACTTGCCACAATTTGTTGTGATCCACACAATCAAAGGCTTTAGCATAGTCAATGAAGCAGAAGTAGATGTTTTTCTGGAACTCCCTAGCTTTCTCCATGATCCAGCGTATGTTGGCAATTTGATCTCTAGTTCCTCTGCCTCTTCAAAATCCTGCCTGTACTTCTGGTAGTTCTCGATCCACATACTGCTGGAGTCTAGCTTGTAGGATTTTAAGCATAACTTTACTAGCATGTGAAATGAGTGCAATGGTGCGATAGTTTGAATATTCTTTGGCATTGCCTTTCTTTGGAATTGGAATGTAAACTGACCTTTTCCAATCCTGTGGCCACTGTTGAGTTTTCCAAATTTGCTGGCAAATTGAGTGTAGCACTTTTACTGCATCGTCTTTTAAGATTTTGAATAGCTCAGCTGGAATACTGTCACCTCCACTAGCTTTGTTGTTGCTCAGATTTTCTAAGGCCCATTTCACTTCACATTCTAGGATGTCTGGTTCGAGGTCAGTGACCATCTCATTGTGGTTATCTGGGACGTTAAGCTCATTCTTGTATAGTTCTCCTGTGTAGTTTTGCCATCTCTTCTTAATCTCTTCTGCCTCTGTTAGGTCCCTGCCGTTTTGGTCCTTTATCATGCCCATCTTTGCATGAAACTTTCCCTTCATATCTCCAATTTTCTTGAAGAGATCTCTGGTCCTCCCTATTCTGTTGTTTTCTTCTATTTCTTTGCACTGTTCATTTAAGAAGGCATTCTTATCTCTTCTAGCTATTCTCTGGAATTCTGCATTCAATTGGGTGTATCTTTCTCTTTCTCCTTTGCCTTTCGCTTCCCTTCTTTCCTCAGCTATTTGCAAAGCTTCCTCAGACAGCCATTTTGCTTTCTTGCATTTCTTTTTCTTTGGGATGGTTTTAGTTGCTACCTCTTGTACAATGTTGCAAACTTCCATCCATAGTTCTTCAGGCACTCTGTCTATCAGATCTAATTCCTTAAATCTATTTGTCACCTCTACTGTATATTCATCAGGAATATGATTTAGTTCATACCTGAGTGGCCTAGTGCTTTTCCCTACTTTTTTCAATTTAAGCCTAAATTTTGCAACGAGAAGCTCATGATCTGAGCCACAGTCAGCTCCTAGTCTTGTTTTTACTGTCTGTATAGAGCTTCTCCATCTTTGGCTGCAGAGCACATAGTCAATCTGATTTCTATGTTGACCGTCTGGTGATGTCCATGTATAGAGCCATCTCTTGGGTTGTTGGAAAAGAGTGTTTGTTATGACCATCCTATTCTCTTGACAAAATTCTATTAGCCTGTGCCCTGCTTCATTTTGTACTCCAAGGCCAAACTTGCCTGTTATTCCGGTTATCTTTTGGCTTCCTACCTTAGCATTCCAATCTCCCATGATGATAAGGACATCATTTTTTGGTGTTAATTCTATAAGGTGCTGCAGGGCTTCATAGAACCGGTCTATTTCATCCTCTTCAGCACCAGTGGTTGGGGCATAGATTTGGATTATTGTGATATTGAATGGTTTGCCTTGGATTCGAACTGAGATCATTCTGTCATTTTGGGGATTGTATCCCAGTATTGCTTTTCCTATTCTTTTATTGACTATGAAGGCTACTC